CAGTGCATGCAGCTCCCTAGGATCAAGCCACCAAGAGTGCTTTCATTATAAGGGAATTAGACTGTATTTGACTTTCAAGTTTAAGCATGGTGCATCAGAATCATTCCAGTGGTTAAAGCAAAGAATTGCTGACTTCTAGAGCTTCTGATACAGTAGGTATGTGAAAGGACTTAGAATTTCTAACAAGCTTCCTATTAATGCAGATGGTATAGGGAGTTCAGTAGGGAGCAGAAGTATTTCTGCTTAGATTATATGGGACCCAGCCGGTGTTTCTGGATGTTGTATATAGGATTTCTATGAGTCTGATATTTAGTACACTGTGTGCATTCAGTTGGGAAAATGAAAAACTCTTACATGTGAATTTGTTTCCTCATAGCATGGCAACCTTAGGGTAATTTGGACTTTTTAAAATTATAGGTCTGGATCCTCAAAACTTGTGTTTCGGTGGAAAGGAAATAGCAGAGACGTGGACTTGGTTTTGATGCTTTATCATCTTGTAGACACAAAACACCTTGAACACACTGCTGAGGATACAGAACTGACTCAGCTGACCTTCCAGCAGGTTTTTGTGGCTTTAAATTGCACAGGAAGAGAGTGCCCACCTTTCTCTTGTGTAGCCATTAGTGGAACTGCCAGAGAGGCGACACCTTTGGGTTAGCAGTGCACCTCCCTACAGATTATGCCACCAGAGCTCCCTCTGCAGATAGAAGGGTAAGGGGATTCGAACAGTACTTAATAGTTGACATTATGGAAGAAAGTAACAGAGAAATAGAAAACTGTCTCATGGCGTACATATGGTATGCTTGTTATTGTGTGCCATCAAGTAGATTTTGACTCATAACCTGCCCCATAGGTGTCCAAGGGTGTAATCTTTATGGGAGCTGGTTTCTTTTCCTCCCACAGGTGCCACTCACTGGTGAGTTTAAGCCTCCAGCCTTTTGTGGCAGGTGAGCACTCAAACATTGTGGCAGTGTGATGCAGCTACATTGTATGCCTACTTTACTATATATTTCCAGATTTGGCAATTTCCCGTCTGAAAACTGGATGCTGTAGCAAAAGGAAATGTAGTAACTGAGGTATGAGCTAATAAATGTTTTTGCCAGTTAGGAATATTGTACCAAGAGAGAATTTTAGGCCCCCTCTTTTATTAATAATAATTGAAATATCCTGAGATATAAATAAGGAGCTGTGTGATATACATTGTTACATGTTGGCCTGTTAACCAGGAAGGGTCAGTGGTGCAAATCCACCAGTTGCTTCCTGAGAGGACTAGGGGCAGTCTCCTTCGATAAAAATGTACAGCCCTGGGAACTTATGAAGGGTCATTCTGGATCAGGATCAGCTCAGTGAAAGTGAGGTGTTGTCTTTTTTTAGATTTGATTTATAAATTAAAAACATTTGATTTCCATTTAAAAATTGGAACCCATAATGGCATTCCATAATGGATTAAGAGTTGGTTGGCTGGCTCTGGCTGACATTTACAAACCCACTGTCCAGTCTCTGTGAAAAGGCTAAGCACTCTATTCTCAAAGATGTATCACCTTGTGAGTAGTTACACTCTTTTACAGGATCATTGTCGGTAGGAATTGAGTCAGTGGCATTGAGTTTTGCAAGTTAGAAGTGAAAAGCACATCTTAATGATTTAGTTTCCTAGTTATTAAACCCCACCTGGGTTTTTTAATATGTATGTGTGTGTGTGGGGGGTCAAATTAGATCTGATTGGTACAGGAGGAGACTGCCCCTCCTTATCCAGCAGAGAATCTGATTTGAAACACATACCTCTGGGATTGCAGTGCAGCTTCTTGCCACTAGGCCAACATAGCTTCCTCCCTATCTGGTTTGTTTTTTTGTGTCCGTCCCGTCCCCCCCCCAAATCTGGTTTTAAAATTAAACTTAATTGTTGATCTTTAGGATGTTCTGAGGTCATGAAGTGTAGGATACATTCCTGCCAGATTAGGTGGGGGAAATAGGCTTTATGTAAAATTCAGCTGGAGGGTAAAATGAATTGTGTGAAATAGTTCCCCTAAGAATAAAATTGGATGTTTTCATCAACATATAATAGTCTAAAAGTTCTCTTGATTTCAGAGATTAATAAAATATTTGTTTCTGTTTAGGGTAGAATATAAACAGAAAATAGATAGTTTGACCTCCTCCCCATCCCACACCTAAAGAAACCAGACAGACACCTTTTAAAGAAAACAAGCAACAGAACTCGCTATGAGTCTTACTTTTCAAATGGTTTCTGTGACTGTGTATCTTTTATCAGAATTTTACTTTGTATTTTGTTTCCCTTAAATAAAACTCCTTGACCTTGCAACAGACTCATTGTTGAGCCTCCAGCAGGTTTCTAGGAGCTGTAAATTTAAGGGAAGAGCTTGTCTATCTTTGCCCCTACGAGGCGCTGGTGGATTTGAATTACCAGAGTGGGCATCACCTTTGGGTTAGCGGTGCTGCTCCCTACACACTAGGCATCCAGAGCTCCCTCATGTTTCTTTAGTAAATGGGATGATTATTACTAAGGGCAAGGAATGTAATATGGTTGTGATGTATTGGGTTCCTTTGATTCTCCTTCCCTTTGAATTTAGATTATTTACTCTTGTCTCCTTATAGCAATAACCAGTTTCTTGAATCTGCTGCCTTACTAAAATAGCCTGCCTTTTGGGTCTTATCTGATAGATAGTAACCTGGGAAACCACCACTGTTTTTATTTTAGGGAAAAAAAAATAATCATGACCTTAATCCAGGGCTCTCATTTCTGAGAAGATAAAGCTCCATATACTGCCTGTAGGGGGAATGGTAGACTTGAAAGTATTTCATAATTGTTCAGGAATAATGAGTAATAGATGAGGTACAGTAAAGACCTTGTCCCTTTACTTCAGGAAAAAAATATATTGTTTACATTAATTCTTACAGAGGGATAAAAAGTTACAAGCTTATGATATACATGGCTACAGTTGTTTTCCTTAGCTTTCACACTTATTTCCCCTTTTCTGAGGTGGGAGCTCTGATGCTACTGTCAGTTGTGTTGGGTTGCTAACCAGAAGTTAGGGGTTCAAGTCCACCAGCTTTTGCATGAGAGAAAGCTATGGAAGTCTGGTTCTTTAAAGATTGCCCTTGGAAGCCCTGTGGATCAGTTGATGTTGTGTTTTATAGGGTCATGCAAAGCACTTGACAGCATTGGATTTGTTTTGGTGTTACCTTTTTCTGATGATACTAGATTACAAGTTTGCTTCTTTGTTTCTATTAATAAGATTTCAAACTCACTTTAACTGCCACAGAGTTCATGCTCATACACAGCCTTCCATTTAAGTTTCTGGACTATAAATTGTAATGGGAGGATACTGACCATCATTCTCCAGAAGAGCTACTAGAGCATTTGAACTACTGGAGGCACAGCCTTAGAGGAGCGGTGAAACACCCTAGGGATTGTAGCATTCCTTATAGAATTTAGTGAATACAAACTTGTGAGGTTCTAACTTGTAGCCCTCACCCGGCTATGTGGAAACTGTCTGTTTCCCTTACTGGATGACTGACTACCTTTTGAGCAACTGGAAGAATAAATGATATCCTGCCATTAGCTTACAATATTTGCAGTAATTTCATAGATATGGAGTGAATTCATTGCTGCATAAAAGCCTTTCAGACATGTAACGACACAGTACATCTGTGATTCCATAAGTTACTGTAGCATTCAGAAATTTTGATTGGAGATTGGGGAATGAGATGTAGTGAATGCAGTAGCTTCTCACTATATGTGTATCTCATGTCTCTACAATAGATGGACAACAGTATGTGTTTTGATAGTTCCAGTATTTTACTTGTTTGTGGTATACTTCAAATTAAATTTTATTAGCATTGTATTCTGTGACTCATTGGCAGCATTCTATCTCCTGTATCTCTTGAGTGTTGTTGTGTTATTTCTATATTTCATTAAATTACTGTGAAGTACATCATGGGTATCAAATGTAGCAAAACCAATGCTAGTGATAGTAAAAGCAAAAAGAAATACTGATTTAGAAGTGAAACAGCTATAACAAAGCTGGGGAAAAATATCACTGAGTGCTATTATTCTTTTTTTTTTTAAAGTTATTTTATTACTGTGTGTGTGTGGGTGTGTGTACACACACACCCTCAAATCAGATCTGACAGGTACAGGAGGAGATTTTTCCCTCCTTTTCCAGTAGAGCATCTGGTGGATTCGAACTGCATACCTCTGGGATTGCAGTGCAGCTTCTTGCCACTAGGCCACCAGAGCTAGCCTGAATGCTATTACTCTTTAGTCATGTTTGCACAAAGTTCATGTCACACAATGCCCTTTTCACAGAGTGTCTTGGACCTAATGTGATGCATGACTATCTTATAATTAATTTTTTAGCTCACTGTTAAAGATTGTGATGCTCTAATATATTAACCAACTGAAGTATATATTAAAAAGTCTAGCTTAAGCGAAAATTGAGATAAATGTGAAAGATTGTGTTCTGTCATTTTTTTCCCTATAATTATATTTTATTTTCATAAACATTTACAGAGATTTTGGGTTTCCATTCATTCATTGTTGCACTGTTCTCTCTACCCTCCTCCCAGTTTGTTCTTGTCCAAATGCCACAGTGCTTGTCAAAGCCAGTTCTGATTAATCTTCTTTGTCAGTGTGTCCTTTGCCATTCCCTATCACTCCTCCCTGAGAGAAACTTCACCCTGAGTCATAAGGAAAAGGGGATGGCGTATTCTCTTAGCTACTTCCTGCTGAAAAGGGACGCTGTGGGTTTCAGGGTGAAGATCTTCTCTCACTACTCTAAAGGGCCCCTTTGGCAGTAGGAAACACATAGACTATTATGGAGATTGATTTTGGAATTTAGATGCAATCTTATTGATTGTGCTTGGCCGTACATGTTCATATCCTTGAAGATGTATCATGGGGGTGTTGGGGATGTTCTGTCATTTTGGTTTATCTACAATATGGGTATGTGTGCTTATGTGAATTTTTTTTTATATATAAATAGGGCAAACTTGATGATTACCAGGAACGAATGAACAAAGGGGAAAGGCTCAATCAAGATCAACTGGTAAAGATGCTGTACTTTTATTACTTAACTTTCTGGTCATGATTTTAAATAATAAAATTAATTTGGCTATACTTTCAGTAAAATTAGCTTCTGTTTTATGTCATTTTAGGATGCAGTATCTAAGTACCAGGAAGTCACAAATAACTTGGAATTTGCAAAAGAATTACAGAGGAGTTTCATGTCATTAAGTCAGGATGTAAGTAAAAGATGAAATATATGCTTATGCAGTATTAAAAATTTAAGTTAGGGGGAAGCTTTGTTTCTTCGCTTTATTATCATAAACTTTGGATCTCGGTAAATTAGAGTTAGACTCTGTTGTATCTAAGATACCCTTCCTTTCTTTTCTATTTAAAGCTTAAGTTTTAACACCCGAAAGATGGGTTGAAATTATTTTTCAATTGGTTTTTATTTTATCTTACTTTTTTATAACATTAATTATAATTGATGAATCTTATTTATTACAATATCTTCTCAAATCCTTGCTACTTGCCTGAAAGAGATAGGATTTTAGATGTAGCAAAGATAATTACAATAAGGATCTTACTGGTTTAAAAAATTATCCATGCATGTTTAAGATGATGGAACATTTATTTTCCATGTACTCATTTATGTCATGACTAGAATGCCATTAGCTATCAGAAAATAAAAAGATTTCTTTCTATAATTGGTGTACCATTGTTTTCTTGAGGAATTTTCAGGGATTTGAAAAACTTGTGCACACACATCGTACTTCATTAACTCTTGGTCTGACAAAGTGATGGTTTTTCTCCATAACACCTTTTGATAACAACAAAAGCCTTTGAGAATACGAGGCAGATTTGCGACAGTGTCGTAATTTATTGAAAATTAATGGACTTCTTAAGGTTATTGATACATGTAGTTGACTTGATTGTATTGAGCAAATAAATTTCTTTTCAAGGAAAAGCAAGAATGTCAGTTTAAATTCCAAGGTTTACCTAGTCCAAGCAATGATATTTTAATTGATTACTTCATATGCTTGTGGAAGTTGGACAGTCAACAAGGAAGACCAAAGAATTGATGCCTTTGAATTGTGGCTTTGCAGAGGATTATTGAATGCCATGGACTGCCAAAAGAACCTATCTGTCTTGGAGGAAGTGCAACTCCGGGGTATTTCTTGAGGGAAAGATGATGAATTGTCTTCTCATTTTTAAGTGCATAGTCCAGATGGGAGGGGCAGCAAAGATGAGAAAGATCTTGTTGTGATGGATTGACACAGATTATTTGCAAGGCTCAGATTTGGCTGAAATAGTGAAGGATAAGGTTTGAGGTTATCTTAGGATAGGACAAGGTTTTAGTCTCTTTAGAGTCATTGTAGATATGATAGCACCTAAGAAGAGAGATTGAAATAAGGACTATAATCATCAGCTTAAGTATATCAGAGATGATGAAGATGGCCCAAGATAGGGTAGGGTTTAGATTAATTGTTTTTATAGGGTCACTGTGAGTCATAGGTGGCATTAGTACCACATAACCAACTTTGAGCAACTGACTTTGAGTGATACTAGCATTGAACTAGAAAGTTGATTCTGATTTGGTAAAATCTGGGAGAAAGATGAGTAATCTCCTAGGTGGGATTATGCCTCTGAAAACTTTCCGGAGGGTTTGCTATGAGTTGGTTTTTACTTGACAGCACATAATAGCAACAACAACTTTGAGAATGGCTAGCATGTAACCTAGAGAGTTTTTTTCTGATTGGGCATATAATGAATAAACACAATCATTATATGACATAGAATACAGGGTTTAGGCATTATAATGATGAAAGAGGAGTAGATTTAAATCTTGATGCTATTATGCAACAATAAATGTTTTTTTTTTAAGTGAAAGGGTGCATAGGAAGAAAATGTGTGACAGTGAATGAATGAAAATCTAACTTTTCTGTAATATTTAGTTAAAAATCCCAATTAAAAAAAAAACTTCTAATAAATTGTATGACTTGAAGTTGCTTTATTTCTGTTTTCTAATCTGTGAAGTGGTGATAGTAATAGTACTTCCCTTGTAAGATTTTGCTTGAAACAGTTTTGATGTTTTATTAATGTGTTTTAAGCCCTTAATGTTATCATTACTTACCATATTTGATTAAAGATGGAAAACTTTGATGCTTTGCCTGAAAATGGAGAAAAGGAAATTTAATTTACATTCAGGTAGGGATTTGTTCCACTTATCAAATTAGGTCAGAGCCTCAGGCTTGATGAACTCTTTTTTTTCCTTTTTTAAAGATATGGGTCATAGGAAGCAAGATTATCTAATTCTATTGCCACTCTCCCTGTATATGAAATTACTGTACATCGTTTGCCTTTGTTTTATCACCACCATAATTCCAGCAGCTTTTCTCTGTATCTTTAAACTTTACTTGGCAGTTCTCTTAATTAACTCCTGTTAATCTCGGCAAGACTTTCTTTAGTGAAATACTTTTTGGTTGGTTTCTGCATTCAAGAACTTCTCCCTAGCTCCAGTTATTTAACATACTTAATTTTTTTTCTTTTCCTTCAACATTTTATTGTGCTTTAGTGAAAATTTACGTAATAAATACATTTTCTCAATCAAATCAGTTGTTCTTAAAATTGGTTAAAATCCTTGAAATGTGTTGTCATTACTATTATTTACTCTCTAGGTTCTCCATTTCCATTTGGCAAGTTTCATTGTCCCTTGTCTTTTCATTTTTGGTTTGGGGCACATTTCACACTTTATATGATTGATTGCATCTTTGTCCTTCTTTCCTCCTCCTAATCCCCCCCCGGAAAAAAAAACCCCACAAAATCCCAAAAACACTGTACTTTCTTTTTCTCCCTGTCTTTTGTATTTCTGCCTCTGGTCGTGTAAAAGCTTCCTTTCCGACTTTTATTCCACCATTCTCACTCCAAGGCACAGAGAGCTTATTATTTTAAGGGTACATGTCACTTTGTTTGAAAGCCTAATTCATCTTAGAGTAAATTTATCTTCTGCTCGACATGCATGTTCCTCACTTACTATTTATTGCTATAATGTAGTTTGTTCTGCTAACCTCTCTAGAGCTCTGGTGGCCTAGTGGTTAAGGAGTTGTGCTTCCAACCCAAAGCTGGGCAGCTTGAATTCACTAGCTGCTAGTTGGGTGACCTTGTTCCTTGGTATTGAAAATCAACCAGAGGATCTGCTATGATTCAGTGGCAATGAGTTGAGTTGAACCTCTGTATTACGATAGTAGATTTTTGGGATAGTAGCCATTGTAATTTTCCTCAGATTTAGATCCTTCCCAGTTCTCTCTTTAGTATAGTCTTCACATATCCCTATTTTTATTTTCACGGTTACACTTGACCCTAATGAGGAAGGAGGAGAGAAGTATTTTCAATGTGGCTGATGGTTTCCCTTTTGCCTTTTCAGGGAAGAAAAATAATAAGTGGAAAAAATAGATCCCTACTTAATTTTAGTTTTATGTATCTTGTGCTGCCTCCCTTTTTTTTGTCTGTCAGCATGCCATTTGTCATAAAAAAGGAATCAGTTTTATTAATTGTTGAAATATGTTTATAATAGCTATATTATATAGGAAATATATATGATATATGAAAAATTTAGTGGAGTGTTGGGTTTTAGAATATCGTTGAGAGTCAACCATGACTACTTCAGTTAAAACATTAGACCATTTTCCATAGGTGGAGATAGTGCACATAAGATTTTGTTGTGGTTTTATTTCTTTTCAGTACCTAGTGAATATTTCTCTCCTTTACAATCCTTTTATCCTGCTAGAAGATTTAAAAGTTTAGTTAACACGAAGAATAAAGGAAAAAAAAATAAAAGTTAACATGTTGCCGCAGATGATGGCTATAGTGGAAAAAAAAGTGTTTCTAAGCACCATTGTCAATTTAAAAGTGTGCGGCAACATGTTAAGAAACTAGAGAAAAGAATATGAATTCCCATTTTCCATGCCTATTTATTTTATGGTATCCCATATCTGCTTGATTGTTTTTTAAAAGAAGACCCCAAAGTAATGTTGTTGTGGGGTTTTTTTTCTGCAACATTTAAGCAATAAAATACTTTCATGGGAAAAGTGTTCTGTATTGACAACAACTTAAAATCATCAGACATGCTTTAAAACTTTTTGTGCATAGTTCAGGAAAATCATCTTATGTATAAAAGCCATTTCTGACTCAGTAAATCTGTCTTATTTTTACTTTATGTGAAATTAAACTAAAGTTTTCATAAAATCACTTGAGTGTCTTACAGAATGTCTTTCCTCCACCTGCCTCAGATCCAGAAAACAATAAAGAAGACAGCCCGTCGGGAGCAGCTTATGAGAGAAGAAGCAGAACAGAAACGCTTAAAAACTGTGCTTGAGCTGCAATATGTTTTGGACAAATTGGGAGATGATGAAGTTCGAACTGACTTGAAACAAGGTTTGAATGGAGTGCCGATTCTGTCTGAAGAGGAGCTGTCATTGTTGGATGACTTCTACAAGTTAGTAGACCCTGAACGGGACATGAGCTTGAGGTAAAGGATATTTGGTAATAGAAATTTATAAATGCACCCCTAGGCTGACAGCTGACAAGTGTAACTAATTAGTTCTTTAATTATTTTGTAAGATTGAATGAGCAGTATGAACATGCCTCTGTTCACCTCTGGGACTTACTGGAAGGGAAGGAAAAATCTGTTTGTGGAACAACCTGTGAGTATGATTGAAATTTTGATTTTGTAACTAAGAATCTTGGTTTTCTTCCCTAAAATTTGTTTATAAATTTATGTTTGCACTTTGATTTTTTCACTTTTACTCTTTCCCCCACATATCTGTACGCTGTTTGAAAATCAAAACACTTGAGAAGGAAGAATAAGAAAATAGATGAGTTATGTGAAAGGAAAAGCAATATAATTAATGTTATGAGATGTCTGATTGATTGAAAGAAAAATCAAATGAGATGTCTGATTGATTGAAAGAAAAATCAATGATTAATGAACTTTTATTCAAATAAATACTAAAAAGCGAAGGAAAAGTATTAAACAAAACAGTGAAACTCACCAACAATGAACCTAAGAAAGCTGGAAACTTTGAAGAACTTAGAAACCTGTTAGGTAAAGAAATCTTCACTTTTTACTTACAATAATACAGAACTATTTTGCACCCATTAAAGATGGAAAAAATTAAGATCTGGAGAAACAAAGCCTTTTTTCCACATTTGGCTCTACAAGGTTCACTGAGTATTCTGCTTCCATTGTACAAATTTGCACCTATAAACTTCCTGAATGAAACAATTTTCCTGAAGTTGTTATCAAGGTGATTCAGACTAATGGTGTTCACATGTATCTGAGTCAGATGTGCTCCATGATGTTTTTAGTGGTGGGTTTTTAAAAATCACTTTATGCTATTTTTTTCTGGGGCACTTGATATAACCTCCAACCTTTTAAAAAAGTGGGTTATTGGTAAAACTCTGATTGCCTTAATGATTTTTGTACTTTTTATACTTTTGAAGGCCTTTTAGTTTTTCTAAATTTTAGAGCTCTGATACCTAATCTAATATTTTGTGTTAGAACTCTGTATGCAGCTTTATGATGTTTGATTGAAACAAAAAATGTCTGGATTATAAAGGCTTGGTAATTTCTTAACCAATGAACAATTTGTGGATCCCAAGATGCACATGGTGCCTCTGAGTTACTAACTTGAGAACAGATAATAATATTCAGTAGATGGGGAATTTTTCTTTCCTGTAGTAAATTGGAACAGCTCTGGTGGGTTATGTGTTGAACTTTTAATGAAGGGATTGGCAATTTAAACTTAACCACTCAAGTCCTTGGTAGAAAGATTGAGGCACTCTCCTCCAGTTAATGAAGATTTACATCCTGGGGAACTATTCTGTCCTACAGGGTGACAAAGTCAGAACTGACTGGATGGTTGTGGGATGTTTTGGTAGTAAATCAGAGATCAGGTTTATGTCTTGGCCTGTTAAGGTTTAATTAGGGAAGCAGATTTTGGGATAAGGTTTAATTAGGGAAGCAGATTTTGGGATATGTTAAAATGGAGGGAGGGGACCCAAACCAAAAAACAACAAACCTTTTTCACTTACATTTAGATTGAAAGGAAGTTAAATTAGATTGTAAGCTTTAACAAAACTCATCATTTAGAATATTTAAAGAAATGAGCACGTCATACATGAAATGCTACAAAGATTTTTTAAAATTTAATTATGTTTCATAACTTTTTAGATTTCAGTTTTCCTTAGTGTTTTATAAAATAGGTACCATTTGAATGAAGTTTGACTGGAAAGTAATTTTTGGATGAATAAGCTCTTAAGCTCAAAACATGTAGTCCAAATCAATAGTGATCAGATTTTATGGACATTAAAGTAATAAGGGATAAACCTTTAAGCTTATTTTAGGGTTCGTATGTGTGTGTGTATGGTTCTTTTTTTACCTAATCTTGTCCCTCCATTTTAGAATTGTGATATTTTTATAGCTAATGGAAAGGCTCTAATGTACACACATATAAGGAGACTTCTACCTACTTCTTAAAGGGGAACTGTCCCCAACAGTAATATCCATGGTACTAAACAAATAGCTACATGATCAGACATGCCACCCAGTATGCTCCTGCACCTTGTTTCTACAAAACATTGGGTACAGTGTTCGTTGCAAATTGACTCACAGACTTTTACTCAGAGTTGTGGGATTATGTAGAGCAATAACTTGGGGGGTATGAGGCAAAGAATATCCCACAATGCAAGTCCAGGTTTTGTCCAGCAGTCTCAAACCAGAATAATAAGGCACAATTCGTCATTTAGCTCAGACAGCTTATCAAGTGAAAGTCTTACGTTCCATTTAGCAGCACAAATAAACTTCTGGTTTCTTCAGTTGTCCAGCAAACCTTAGAGCATTTACAAGCCAACTGTTCATTCAAATCATCCACTGAGCAAAACTTTTTGAACTATGGCTCCACCTCCAAGGTTGCTCTGGTTACACCTTGCCATGGTTATTTTACAGCAATGCCACTGTCTCTTCACCCTCTCTCCACCACTGTTGCTGACAATGGCTTCACAGTTTCCCCACATTGTAGGAAGCACTGGTCTCTCACCTTTTGATGATTTGCGAGACAAGGGGCTAACATGGTAGCTAGAAAAGTTTTCAATGTTTCTGACACCTAATACAAATACTTGTCACTATTTCCTTTTGATATTTCATGCATAAATTTTTGAGGGGGGGGAAGTTATTGTTAGAAATGAGATAAGCTTCAGAAGCTATTTGAGGATTGTTTTATTAATCACATATTTTTCAAGTTTGTAAAATAATTCATACTTTTTTTTTAAAGATAAAACTCTGAAGGAAATTGTTGAGCGTGTTTTCCAGTCAAACTATTTCGACAGTACCCACAACCATCAAAATGGGTTATGTGAGGAAGAGGAAGCAGCCTCAGCACCTACAGTTGAAGACCAGGTAGCTGAAACTGGTGAGTACTTAGATATAAGCTTTATTTTAGAGGCCTGGTTTTAGTTTCCTTTTCCACAATTTACACTTATACAATAGCTTCTGTAGTTATTACATATATACAGTTAGGTATTTAAAGAAAGTACGGCAAAGGTTTTTGTTTTTGTTCAGACATTTCTCTAGGTTGTATAGCCCTGGTGTACAAGTTGCCGTACCGCGGTCACTTTTGGTTGCTGTGAGGCTGAACACTGACACTGATATGTCCAGTGCGTTAACTGTTGGCTACCCAATGCAGACAGAGTGGGGTGGAGCTCCCTGATTAAAACAAGCTTGGGAGGAGGAATGGCATCCACTTCCATAATAGCTTGCCTCTGGAAACCCTATGAACCTGGAGAGAGGATAAAAGGCAACCAAGCGTCAAGGACTCTCCTTCATCGGGTCGCTATGAGTCGCCTGTGACTCGACGGCACTTAACAACAACAACATCATCATGACAAAATAATTAATGCAACATAAAAAATATTAACATTCTCTTAGTGGTATTGATCACTGGTATAAACTACCCACTAAGTGCTGCTCTTGAGTACATGCAAAGGACAGTTGTTGAAAGGCATTTCCAAAGGATTTGTGAGGGACATTCACTGACTTAGTAGGTCTTTCTCATGTTAGGGTATGAAGTGAATAGTTTGGGGGAAATCTTTAATTGTAAATCTTCACACTTCACACCAGTAACATATACATAGGCATTTACTATTTTTATGACACCTCTTCCATGGAATAAAATTTGAAAGTATAATAATGAGAGCATATGTCTTGTAAAAACAGATTGTAGAATTACACTGCTCTTAACCAATTTTGACCTCATCCTCTAATTAGCTGGGTAACTGGATAAATTACCAAACTATTTTATGCTTGGAGATAATGGAATCTTTTGCCCTAGGATTGTTGTGCAGAACCTCCTAAGCCAGTTTAAAGATAATATAATAGATTCGACATGTCTGTATCTTGTTTGAAAAAGATTGTAACTTAGTAGCTTTTTATTTTCATTATTCCTGATTCAGAATAACTTGTTGGGATTAAAAGAATTATCTCTCCAGTAAATAATAGATCTCTTTGTAAGTGGTGATGAAATTTAGAAATTTACTGTTAACTATGTAAATCAATTCAGACTTAAATTATTTAAAGTTTAAATTAAATTTCTAACTTGAGAAAATTCTCACTCTTTGCATCATATTTTTATGTCTTAGAACCTGAACCAGCAGAAGAATACACTGAACAAAGTGAAGTAGAATCAACAGAGGTATGACAGTTTCTTGAATTCTTAATTTTTCCTTTCCACCTTTTATACTAGAAGTCTTATTAAACATTTATTTTGCTTTGCAGTATGTGAATAGGCAATTTATGGCAGAAGCACAGTTCAGCAGTGGTGAAAAAGAGCAGGTGGATGAGTGGACAGTTGAAACAGTTGAGGTGAGAGAACTCTAGTTTTTTTCCTTATGTAATAGAGTTGTTTTTATTCATAGGGGGTTTCTCCTTTTGAGAATCAATGCCCATTGCTATAGTTTGTGTGGGGGTTTTTTTCCCCCAAATTAATTCATGAAATCTTTTTTAATAAGGGACTTTTCTGTCCATATGGATATTTCTAGAATCACTTCTTTGCTGATTATTAAAAAGTTATGTGATGTTAAAATTATTCACTGAAGCACATAGTTCTTCTATAACTGGTTTTTAGATGGTTTCTAGACAATCTGGTATTCCAAATGGAGGTCCCTCAGAAAGGCTTACTGGAATAATCCTCCCAGACTCAGCATATAGGCAATGTGTTAAGTGTATCATTCACTTACTGTCAAGTTAGAATCATCTCTTAGCTCCAATGGGTTTTCAAAGGTGGCGTGAGGGGCGTGCGTGCGCTGAGGCTGTAAATTGCATGAGAGGAGAGTGCTCAAACCCTTGTAGCCACTGGTACACATGAACTGTGGCCTCTAGGTTTGTAGCACAACTTCTTACAGACAAGCCACCAGGGCTCACTCTACACTGTTGTTTTGGTACTTTAGAGTCAACTGATTGATAACTGATCTTATAGCAGATTTTCAGAGGTTGTATAACACAAAAGGAAGTTATCCATCTTTTTCCTTTGGAGCATCTGGTAGATTGATACTTCACACCCTTGAGTTGGCAACAGAACTCTTTACCACTAATCCACTAGTGCCCCTTCTGGTTCATTATTCCCTTTTGATGTAGTTCCCCCCCCCCCTTTTATAGAGCATGTATTAAAGTTTATACTTAAATAGTCTCATATTAAAAAGGTAATTTAACAGAAGAATTTACTTTTTGATATTTATATACTCCAAAAGAACACCTAAACATTTGAAAATTCCCTACTGATAATAAAAATCAAATTCTTTTTTTTCTTACAGTTAGATATTGAATTGGATTTTTTTTAAAAAAGTCAAAAACAAAAGTAGATTAAAATGAACTACTGGCCCCCTGTAGCATTTTCTGTTTTGATGCTTGTTCCTCTCTGTTTTTTCTCTTGCTCTTTTCAATGCACCAACTGTACCATTTTCATCACATTGATCATCACTACCAAATTTTGTTTTCTTGTTTTGAACCTGTTCTTTAGCAGATTTAGCCTGGGCCTGAGACCTTCTTTTTGTAGGAATTCTTGTTGATTTTCCATGATGATTTTCTTTTTTTTTTTTTTTAATACTCCCTTTTCTCACTTTTCTTTCTAATAGTTCCCATATTACATCTTTGTTCCTTAGTTGAGTTGTAGGTTACCATTATTTGCATCTTTGGCTTTATCCGATAACTCTTGAGATAAAATTTTCCCTCTCTTCCTCCTCTGACAAATCCTATCCACTTTATTTCTCCATGATTTGAGAAAAAGATGTACAAATCTTCTCTACAGGTTTGATCATTTTAAATCACCAGAAAATTTCAGCAAGCAGCCAATCTTCTAAAGATACCATCTCAGAACTTGTTTCTCTTCTTATTTTTGTTTAGTTCTTGATTTAGCTTCAACTTTAGTTCTGCTTACTTTCTTCCTTCTTTTTGTAATTGACCTTTAAAAGTATTAGTAGATCAGGGTCTTTGCACTTATGTCCAGGGATTCCTACAAACTTCTTTGGCACATTTAGTGCTCTCTAACACAACAAATTGTGTTCCCTTAAATGTTCTGTGCAGTATTTTCCACGATTAAATACTTAATATTTAGTACTTGACTTTTGTCTTTTAACCATTCTTTCGTCATCAAGGGTTGGATCAGTTGGGAAACCTTTACAGTAAAGAGATTTGTTTTTATATATCATTGTTTACTCATCAATCACTTCATGGAGGGGTTTGCTTGGAGATCTTCTGATTTTAGTTTTATCTTCACTTCTTTTCATGTGCTCTAATTTTTATTTCCTTAGTGCTGCTACTATTACATTAAAATCTGTTGAATTTTACCGTTATCTCCAAAGATACCCATCCATCATTTAGTTTGATCTATTCCTTTAAAAATTTCTCCATGGACAGTTAAAGTCACCAAAATAATACTCAATTTGATGACAGATTTTGGCCTCCAGCTCGGCCATTTTTTTCCATTATCATGCTTTTCTTCACTTGTGGATCACTGAAAATATTTCTTGGTGGATCTAGTCCTGCAGAAGCGTAGCTACGTAGGATCATTAGCCCCTTTGATAGTTATTTTTCTTTCTGATTTCCATTTAACTGTTGTGTTGTTCATAGGTGCCACAAGTGACTTGTAACTTAAAGTGACCTGGTAGAATTTTTCACCTCCCACTCTGCAAATAGGCTTTACTATCAGAAAGTTGGACAGTGACTAGGGAGGATAGAAGGAGAATTGACGCCTTTGAGCTGTGGTGCTGGAGAAGAGTTTTGAGGGTACCATGGACTGCCAAGAATACAAACAGATCCATCCTAGAGAGGGTTAAACCAGGCTGCTCCTTGGAGGCAAGGATTCTGGGGCTTCGTCTGACATACTTTGGACATGTTGTAAGGAGAGACAGGTCTTTAGAGAGAGAGGGACAGCTTGGGAGGGGAAGACCCTCTATGAGGTGGATTGATTCAGTGACTGGGGTAATCGGGATGAGTGTGTCAGAGGCAGTGCGATTGGCACAGGATAGAGCAGGGTTTAGGGCTGTTGTACACAGGGTTGATGTGAGTTGCAAACGACTCGACGGCACATAACAACACTAAATTTCATAATTTTTTTTTTCTGGTAGGCTTTAGTAGAAGCTTTTCCGCTTATTTATTTTGTCACCAGGGCTCCTTATTTATTAATGGATTGCAATTAGTTAATTAGGGAGCCCTGGTGGCTGCTCCATGGAGAAGGATGAACTCTCCTCCTACTGGGATTTATAACCTGGGAATACTCAGAACTTGGCCAGGCAGAAGTTCATTATTGGAACAATTAAATTTCTTTATTATGTCATTTGTCCTTGAACAGTTCCGTATTATGATCTCTCTCACTATAGGTCGTAAATTCACTCCAGCAGCAACCACAGGCTGCATCTCCTTCAGTACCCGAACCCCATTCTTTGACTCCAGTGGCTCAGGCAGATCCCCTTGTGAGAAGACAGCGAGTACAAGACCTTATGGCACAAATGCAGGGGCCCTATAATTTCATACAGGTAGGTAAATTTTAATAAAAGACTGGAGCAGAAGGCTTAAGGTTTGTATTTGACAGTCATTATATTGTAACTTAATTTATAGGATTCAATGTTGGATTTTGAAAATCAGACCCTTGATCCTGCCATTGTATCTGCACAACCCATGAATCCTACCCAAAACATGGATATGCCTCAGCTGGTTTGTCCACCAGGTTAGTAATGATACATTTTGTATATGAGATTTCTTAATAGTGTATAAGCCTATTGTTTTCTGGTTTATAAAGTTTGTTAACATTCATTTCTTACCTTTTAATGCTTGTTTAATTTTTGAGTCTTGTTTTACTAAGAAACACACTTTTGTATATTTTCTAAAATAACTATTACTTTGTGTGTGTGTGTGTGTGTGTGTGTGTGTACCATCAAATCGGACCTAACAGGTACAGGAAGAGATTGCCCCATAGCTGACCCTCTTCGAACCGCATACCTCTGGGATTACAGTGTAAAATAAGACTTTAAACTATATTTTTTTATTTGGAACTTTATTTACTACTACAAGTGTATAGCTTGAGCTTTTTGTAAATTGAACACAGCAACACTCAAAAAAAGTAACATCACTAGTATTCTACAAACTCACTTTAATCTACTTTTTAAGTCACGATTTCCTTCTGCTCTATGATAGCTACTTTGACTTACAGGTCAGTTTTCCCTGACATTTAGGAAAAACAGAGGAGCTCTGGTGGCCTAGTGGCAAAGAAGATCACACTGTGATCGGTCTCAGGGTGCGCGGTTCATATCCGCCAGATAGATACTCTGCTGGAAAAGGAGGGGCAATCTCCTGTGCCAGTCGGATTTGATTTGATGGTACACGAAAAGAAAAAAATTCTCCTCTGAAGAAAGCTTAGTGTGTCCTAGAATGTTTGAATCAAAGTAAAAATGGAACACACAAGAGCAAAGTAGTTAAGGGAATGCTTAAAGAGTAAAAGAGATAGACAAAACGTTTCCATTCTGGCTCCTGCTCACTGCCGCTGCGCCGGAGTTCATTGGAGTCCCTGCTCGAGCTTGTAATAAAGTGTTTTGCATCAGAAAAAAAACCAACCAAAAAAACGTTTCAATTCTAAACTCTTCCTGGCCTTACGTCAATATTTGAAGTAGTAAAGTTGATCCCTTGTACTGTTTAAATAGACATTCTCTCTAGGGCCATCAGTAATTTTGAGTCTTAGTTTTACTTAGAATGTGTCAACAATAATGGCAAGTGTACAACTGCATAAGTGTGTGTAAATTAACATAATCTTAAATATCAAGGGAAATTACTGAATAGAAACATATTTAATGACTCGCGTCAGTTGGTAAAAAAGCCTTGTTGTCAAGTCTGAACTGAAAATACATAGCACACCCTCCAGTGAGTTTTCAGTGGCTGTGAAAGAAAAGGTTGCCCATCTAATAGATTAAAATTGCTGACTTTTTGAGTTGGCAGCACTTCTTAAGTTGATAATGTAGTTAAGATTTAAATAAGGAAAGCACATAATACTGTTTATTATCTGAGCTCTAAGAGAAGAAAAATTTTACTTTTTTTTTTTTTTAAACTGGAAAGTTGTGCCCAAGTCTGCACTGGCACCACTAAGAAAACTTGTAAGACCATTTCTAGAATTAGGTAATGGTATATCAAAAGATTGTTGCTGTAGTTTATTGTTGAGTTGGAAGTGACCCTCCAGTGGCTTTTCAGAGACGTTAAATCTCGGACGGGAGGGGATTGTGTATTGCAGTGCAGTTTCTTACCACTGGGCCACTAAACAACATTCCTCTGGAAACTCTGAACTTTGAAAAATATCGATAATTAGAGAAAGATTTCAGGCCTTTTGTTCATAGAATCGCTGTGAGTCATGCAAAATTAGAAGGCAGTCAACAACGACCGTTAATAGAAGCATCATTAGGCTCTTCAGTAAAATTAGATGATTTCTGATTAACTGACCAACATACCCAATCTTACTGTTAAAAAAAAATCACATTGAAGGGATAGTAATTAGAACATGGTAGAAATTGTTGACAATTCAAAGTCACACAGAACTGAAAGTAGGCTTTTTGAAAGATGTTATGTGAGTTGGAATCAACTCATAGCTGACCTCCCCACCCCCAGGAGGCTTTTAAGGGTTGTAAATTATGCAGGAGTGGTTAGTTGAATATTGTCTGATGTCTTAAATGTACCTTTAAAAAGAATTGCATGAAGAATGTTGACACTAATTGTTTTGCTCTAACTCTGTATACTTTTCGTATGTTTATATTTTACTCACCTTCGAAAAGTGAAGATCTGTTCAGAATTGAGTAATAATCATTTTCAGTAATCAGAATGCCCAGTTTAAAGCAGAGCTCTTACTTACTCTCCCAGTTTATTTTTATGATTATTAGTAAGATATTGCAGCTATGGAAATTAACATTTTGTATCCAACACAGTAATGTTTAGATTGTCTGTTAAGAGTTTTGATTTTTCTAGAACTTGTTTTTTGTCAATTTTATAGTTCATTCTGAATCTAGACTTGCTCAATCTAATCAAGTTCCTGTACAACCAGAAGCTACACAGGTAAGGATGGACTTTAACCAGTTCTTGGATGGGTTTCATAGTTACCTTATGAATAGACATATGAATTAAACAAATGTCTAATAGATGTTTGATCAGTGTCTAGGTCCTTATGTCCTTCCTCCCCCCCCCCAATAGGGATCTTGTCAGCTTTTTCTATTCATGTACACATTTTTCTTTTTTATGACCTTTTAAAATTTCATATTTAAGAGCCTTTTTATACACAACTGAAAATTTCAGGTGTTTTAGTGCAGAATTTAGTATTTAAGAGACACTAAAATGATGAAATTTTGTACAACTTAAAATATACACATGCATGGTACAATTTTTTTTTTACTTCTGTGAAGGTTTATGACTCCTTTTACTTCAGTAAAGGTTTTAAAACTTTTTTAATAAGTTACACACATTTGTCTAATATTAACTCATTCTTGTTTATAGCCTTTCCCTTCACCCTACTTACATTTTGTCTCCCCTCTACCTTCCTATAACTATGCAAAAATAATTGTGTGTAAATTTTTCCATATTGTTGTTTTGTGCCATTGACTGTAACACATAGCGATCCTGTGCCAAATAACTCTGAACCCTGCTCTATCCTTAGCCATTCTCACTGTCTCTGACACCTCTACCCTCATTACCCCAGTTACTGTGTCAGTCCATTTCATCTTGGGCCTTCCTCCTATGCTGTCCCTCCACCCTTTCAAGCATGATAACCTTTTCCAACGACTAGTCCCTCCTAGATACATACCCCAAGTATGTGAGCTGGAGTTCAAAATCCTTACCTCTAAGGGAGCAGCTTGGTTTTACCCTCTCAAAGACAGACCTGTTATTTCTCTTGGCAGCTCATAGTATGGTCAGTACTCTTCTCCAGCACCACAACTCAAAAGGCATCAATTCTTTCCTGTCACCCTTAGTCATTGTCCATCTCTCTGATACATAGCAAGTAGCTGCAAAAACCATGGCTTAGATCAGGCACACCTTAGACTCTACACTGACATTCATGCTCTCCAGCACTCTGGAGAGGTCCCTGACAGCAGATTTCCCAAATGTAATTTGTGTTATGATTTCCTGACTGCTAGTGCCGAGTGTGTTGATTATGGAACCTAGCAGGCTGAAATTGTTGACAATCTGTCTCTTCTCCACCTATTATGATGATATTTTTCCTTGGTTTTTTACAATAGTATTATTATGCCCTGATTTTCTCTTTGTGACTGACTTAATGTCATTCAATATAATTTGCTCTAGATTCATCCATATTGTGCAGTTGAAAATAAATTCTTTATCATTTTAAAAAGTCAGCTTCATAAGCCAAAAGATACATGGATATTTTTTTTTTTTTACTTCCACCTAGGTTCCTTTGGTTTCATCCACAAGTGAGGGGTATACATCATCTCAACCCTTGTACCAGCCATCTCATGCTGCAGAGCAACGGCCACAAAAGGAAGCAATTGACCAGATTCAGGCAAGTAATGTTACTAGGTCTTACAAAACATCATTCACTTTATCATGAATGGGACAGAGGACAAAGGCAAATTACTGTTAGTACAATTACTGTTACCTAATGTATGCCCAGTGTTTTGTTTTCATGAAATAGATGAAAGTTTGTAAATATATTTAACAAATTTAGGCTTGACTTTGTATAGTTTACCACTGATGTATATCTGTCTACTTTGTTTAGGCAACAATCTCTTTAAATACAGACCAGACTACACCAACATCATCCCTTCCTGCTGCTTCTCAGCCTCAGGTATTCCAGGCTGGCACAAGCAAACCTTTACACAGCAGCGGGATCAATGTAAATGCAGCTCCATTCCAATCCATGCAGACGGTAAGCAGATAAAATCAACTGGCTTTAAGTGCTTGCGATATATAAAGGTGTATCATGCTAGATTCTAGGTAAGAATTCTTAATTCTTTGTTGAGACTTAAGATTGTAGGATCTAATTAATATTAACCGGTTTCTAGAACGAAGTCTCTTACTTATAACTTGGTTTTTTTTTATTGGGGTTTGTTTGGGTGTTTTTTTCCTTAATTTCTTTTCAACGTCAATCACACATAGTTCATTGACAGTAGCTTAGGTTCATCATGTTGTCCTGCACTGTATTTGTTTGATAGTTTCAATTTTGCTTTAAGTCCCAAAATTTTAAGTACATAGAAAAACATTGCTTACTAACAATCCTTTTGTTCTACCATATTCACATAATTACACTGAAGTGTTTAGATATAAAAATAGAGATATGCTATTTTAACTTTAGATTTTTCAATAATGATGCATAAGAGTAATGGAAACATTGTCTATATATATATTGCGTATATCTCTATACGCAATATCTTATAATCCTTGGAAGAAAATTCATATGGTTAAATATTTGAAATGGTACTATCTTTAGTTGTTTCCACCTTTAGAAAAGAGTTTTCATACCACATCTTTTGCTCCCTTTTATTGTACTTAAAAAAATTCCTACTTCCTATATACAACCTGTTGTTATATGCTTCACGGTTGTTTTCCCTCCCACACATTTAAGTGCATTCTTTGAGGGATGTTTTTAGGTTGCTTTTTTAGGATATGTTTGTAAAATAACTAGCATTAACCTGTGCAGTGATAACAGAATATTGTTACTGTAACCAGGTGGCTCCTTGGAGGCAAGGATTCTGAGGCTCTGTCTAACATACTTTGGACATGTTGTGAGGAGAGACCGGTCCTTAGAGAGGGACATCATGCTTGGGAGGATGGAGGGACAGCGCAGGAGAGGAAGGCCCTCTATGAGGTGGATTGATTCAGTGACAGGGATAATTGGGATGGGAGTGTCAGAGACAGTGCGATTGGCACAGGACAGAGCGGAGTTTAGGGCTGTTGTACATAGGGTCGCTATGAGTCGCAGGTGACTCGACGGCACATAACAACAACAAAAGGGAAGAACTAATGATATACTTTATTCCTTTATAGGTGTTCAATATGAATGCTCCAGTTCCTCCTGTTAATGAACCAGAAACTTTAAAACAGCAAAATCAGTACCAGGCCAGTTATAACCAGAGCTTTTCCAATCAGCCTCACCAAGTAGAACAAACAGAGCTTCAGCAAGAACAGCTTCAGACAGGTAGGAAAATCAACATCCTTTTATTGGCCGCTTGTTTTTCTAATTTATCCTGAAGCATTTGAACCAGATATATAACCTTTAGCTTAAAGATGCATGGTGGTCATAAAAATCAGCCTAACTATTATAGGCATTTATTATGTGGATTATTGTAGTTGTCATAAGATTGCGATGTCTTGATATTTATTTTTAACCTTCTGTTCTCTATGTATTATTACGGGTGATCATTTTAACCCTCTATTCTCTATGTAGTATTAAGGGTGGTCATTTTATAATGTAAATCTGTATCTCTTATTCAGAAATTACATATATCTAGACTATTTGGAATTTAAAGCTCTTGTAATGCAGTGAAAGATAAGAACAAACCAATGTTCTCTAAGAAATTATATTGATTTTTGAATATATAAAGTAGGTCAGATCAGCAAGTTTTGTGACACTTGGTAGAGACTGCAACTTGTTAGAGTTTTTCAGTTTGGACTTTTCTTTACACTACTTTTCCTTTCTTCCCCAAGATAGTAATTGATTTTTATTTACCTTGTGAATTACAAAGATTATAGACTCAGATCAGAATTGTATCTCAGTATTTAATTTGAAAGCTTCTAAGTTCTAGATCTTACTCTGCCACAGAAGAGGTGCTTGATATGGTTCTGTCATTCTAGAACGTATTCAAGTGTGCTAAATAGTAGTGTATCATTTTAGTGTAGTGTCTTCTGACTCAGCTATCTTTTCAACTTTGGAACAGAATCAGGCATTAAGTTGCACACTTCTGCTGAGTTTAGCTGTGTTTTAATCAGCTCCATATTCTACAACAACTTTTGGAAAAACAGTTTTTATAACATGAAATAATGAAATGGTTAAAAGAAATATGGCAGTACTGATTTAAACATGTAAAAATATTTAAAAATTTTTATGGGTCTCTAGTGCTAAAAGGCAAGTATCTTTTACCAGAAAGTATTTTAACAGTTCTCAGGTATCATTGAGTTAATTGTAACTCATTGATTCCATGTGACAGAGCACAACTGGCACATGAGAGTCCTCTTAGCTTTAATCTTTACAATAGGTTCTTAGGTCTATTCTTCCACATAGGCAGTGAGAGATTGTTTGAATCATCAGCCTTAAGTTCCAGATGACCTCCTGGATGTATGGTGGGAGGGGGACATAAAATTACTTAAAATCATTCATTTATTTGGAATGATATAAAATCTTACGTAAATATATAAAATTCTGTGTCTTACAAAGCAGTATGATATATATATATATATATTGCCTGCAGAGGCTTTAATATTGTATGGCTTTTCTTTTTCCCTTTTTGGCTTAACTTAAGGACCTTTGTTGGTATAATGTGTTAATATGTGTTGGATTCTACCTCATTATTTGTCAGTTCAAATTTGCATGCTTCTTATAAGATTGACAGCTTCAGAAATCTCATGGAAAGTTACCATGAGTCAATATGAATTTTATGGCGATTTAGGTAGCTGGGTTAACTTAACACGTAACAGTTAAGAGAAGAGATTTCATTAATGTGTCATTCCCCTTTTTGTTAATAAACAATTTTTTTTAAAGACAATTACATTTTGACAAGACTATAAATCATTAGAATATGTACAGGAGTATAGACAAAATATAGTGAACTATGTGTATGTACATGTGTGTATATTTGTATTAATTTTTTTGTTGTTTTATCATAGTGGTTGGCACTTACCATGGTTCCCAGGACCAAACTCATCAAGTGACTGGTAACCACCAGCAGCCACCCCAGCAGAACACTGGATTTCCACGTAGCAGTCAGCCATACTATAATAGTCGTGGAGTATCTCGTGGAGGCTCCCGTGGTGCTAGAGGCTTGATGAATGGATACCGAGGCCCTGCCAATGGATTCAGAGGTAAATTAAAAAGAGAAAAAAAAGAACACATTTAAACTCTGTTGTGATTTGCAAAATAAAAATACTATGTTAGTGAAAGACAATTATAACCTTTTGATAGTGATTTTAAGTACTGGGATGATTTTATTCAGGACAAGTAAATGTTTAACACCATCCTGAGAGAGCTTTCTTTTTGTGTTTTATTTTTTGTAGGCAAAATTATTTTTAAAAGAAGTGATTTGGGTGACAAAGACATAGCTGATTAGGCTCCACTAACATTTTTTTTAAACAGCATTCTCATAACCATGGCCATTAAATTTTTTTTTCCCCTGTTCCCATTTATTCTTATGTTTAAGGTAATTATTGACAGTTTAGTCTCTGAAAGTTGAATTTTTATAGAACATTTAACACTCAAATGTTTATTATTATACGTTAGTTTAAGTCACTAGCAAGGCTTCTAGATTTTACACTTCTTTTAATAATAGTAATAGAATGACAATGTCATTGTGAAGAGTATTTTCTTGTCTTGTATTTTAGGAGGATATGATGGTTACCGCCCTTCATTCTCTAACACTCCAAACAGTGGCTATACACAGTCTCAGTTCAGTGCTCCCCGGGACTACTCTGGCTATCAACGAGTAAGTAAACACACAATTTTGTTACACAATGGGCTCAGTTACTTGGGAAACTTTTGGCAGTATTTATGAATACTATGTTATGAAGAACAAGGGCTTTTTTTACCAATCACATTAGGTATTCCTCCTAAGTTGCTTTAAACCAGTATTTATTTATTTTTTTTTTTTTTAAAGCAGAGATAGTCATGTGAAAATAAAGATAAACTTACGTAGCAGCTTTTAGGTGGACTACACTGAAATAGTAACCTGTTAGGGGGAAAAATGGTTTTGTAGTTTTATAAGTATTAACAATTTAAGAATAGAGGTTGTAGGGAGCTCTGGTGGCCTAGTGGCAAGAAGCTACCCTGCAGTCCCAGAGGTGTGTGGTTTGAATCCAGCAGATTCTCTGCTGGAAAATGAGAGGCAATCTCCTCTTGTATCAGTCAGATCCAGTTTGTCAGTACACACACACACAAAGAATAAAATAAAATTTTATTTATTTTTTTTTAAAAATAGAGGTCGTTAGGATAGGCTTTCAAAAATGTTTCTATTTTCAATAGTAACTAGTTTGTTTTTTAGGATGGATATCAGCAGAATTTCAAGCGAGGCTCTGGGCAGAGTGGACCACGGGGAGCCCCTCGAGGTAATATTTTGTGGTGGTGATCCTAGCTCCTAACTGGAGCTTCTGTTCTGGCCTTGGAAGAGCTGTTCATAGTCTGCATGTAGGTTACATGTTAGGAATACATTTGTCCTTTCTAGACCTGTTGCTAGGGATTTAATGAAATGCTCTGTTTCTAAAAATATAATCTTGGAGCAAAATTTTAATTTTTTGAATGAATATCCCTGTTACTAAAAAACTGTCTTGAACTGAAACATTTTCTTCTTGTCAGAAAAAGTGGTTTTCCAACTGGAAATTATTTTTTCAGGTCCAAAAAACTGCTAAATGTTTTTAGAAAGTACTTAACTGAAACATTTTTGTAAGACATTTTCTGGATGAGATTGAACATTTATATAAATTTATTATTCTTTCCTTTTTGAAACATGGATATCCTATTTTAGGGCTAGAAATCCCTTTAATGTCCAGATACGGTATAGTTATCATTTAGAGAACCATTTAGAAGTTGACAGAACAAATGGAAATGTTACTGCATTTTCAATTACTGTTAGTAATATAAATATCAAATTGTTTCCTACTTATAAACAAAATTCTCAATTTCTTTTGAACCATACTTAAAATTAGAATCTGTTTGCCTTGTAAGGTAGGAAAATTACTTCCTATTTTGGAGGAAAGTTAGCCAACTTAATAATTGGAGCTAGCCAGCATTTCCATAAAGTTCTAAATGGTTCTTCATTGAGAGCAGTTAAATATGAAAGAGAATTCCGCTAGCTATTGGCCGCAAGATGTAAAAAATGAATATTGAGGAGGAACTACAGAGTACTTTGGTTTGAATGCTAGTACAACTTGACGAACAAAATAGGTGCATTTTTTTTTTTAATTATTGGATCACCTGGGAATTACTGACTTGAAGTATCAAAAGATAATTGCATGTGAATATAGGTTATGTTCTTTCCCTCCCGCGTGGTATATTCTATGACAGTTGAGTTAACTGAAAGCAAAAATCTGTTTGAACAGCATGTAAACAGTTATTTTATCTGTTCTAAGTCATAATACAATTTTGAATGTCACGTAGTTTTTTAATTAACAGTTTAGTTACTAAGGTCTGTTTTCAGTCTGGTGCTTTTATTAATTTTGATAGTAATGATGTTACTACTGAAATGTAAGCTAGCGTGTACACTAGAATGTAAGCTCCATGAGAGCAGGTACTTTGTCTGTCTTCACTGCTGTATCTATTCCCAACGCCTGATGACAGTGCCTGACACATAGTAGGCACTTAATAAATTCTTGTTGAATGAATGAGTACTGGTGGAATACTCCATTAGCTCAACCCTTCTTTTAGTTGAAAACATGGGCAGGTTTACGCATGACAAACTTCCAGAACAGGTGAAACTTGAACACTGAAGGATTGACTTCTTAAACCTAATAATGTGGTGCCAAGCTGCCCACATGCTTCTTGACATGAGATGAAAATCTACTTGAAGGCAAAACAAATAATACTTTAAAGAAAAACCAAATGCCATTTTTGTCTTCTAGGTCGTGGAGGGCCCCCAAGACCCAACAGAGGGATGCCGCAAATGAACACTCAGCAAGTGAATTAATCTGATTCACAGGATTATGTTTAATCGCCAAAAACACACTGGCCAGTGTACCATAATGTTACCAGAAGAGTTATTACCTATTTGTTCACCCTTTCAGGAAACCTAATGTAAAGGGACTGTTTTCATCCCATAAAGACAGGACTTCAATTGTCAGCTTTATATTACCTGGATATGGAAGGAAATATTTTTACTCTGCATGTTCTATCCTAAGCGTCATCTTGAGCCTTGCACATGATACTCAGATTCCTCACCCTTGCTTAGGAGTAAAACATAAACCGTACGGGGTGATATTATCTCCATAGTTTGAAGTGGCTTGGAAAACAGAGATTGACTATTTTGACATTGGATTAATTCTGCAAATCAGCCCTAGTGGTAATTGAAAAACTAAAACATTTCCCATGAAAGAAGATGGAAAGAACTTTTCCAGTTAAATTGGAACTCTGGACATTTAGATGCATACCAAATTATGCATGGTCCCTTAATCACATTTATAAGGCTTTGACACAGCACTGTTCATCATCTGGCCAAATGACTGGTTAAAACACAAAAATATGTAAATTGCTTTTTAATAGCTAATATTGTATAAGTCAAAGCCAAAATACAAAAGTGCAAAATGCACTTTTGGAAAAATAAGCAACAAATATGGGATATAATCTGGATGACCGCTTCTGTATTTAATGTGAAATACTTAGATACCTTTGAACACTTAACAGTTTGACAATGACTTTTGTAAGGATTGGTACTTTATATCATTCCTTATGATATGCACATTGTCTGTCACTAATAACTTGGATCTTACTGTATTGTCACTTAAATTGGTACCGGTACTGATGAAAAGCTCTAATGGATAATCATAACACTTGGTCACATGTCTTTCATGCAGCGTGAAGGTTTTTAAAAGAAAAAGATATCAAATGCCTGCTGCTACCACCCTTTTAAATTGCTATCTTTTGAAAAGCACCAGTATGTGTTTTAGATTGACTTCCCTGTTTTAGGGAAATGACAAGTCAGTAGTTTCAGTTCTGATGGTATAAGCAAAAAATAAAACATGTTTATAAAAGTTTTCTCTTGAACACTGGTGTTCAACAGTTAGCAGCTTATGTGATTTATCCCCATGTATTACTTGTGAGAAATTTGATGATTATCTCCAAGCAGCTTTTTGTGCTTGGCTCATCCTCCTCCCCCTCAATTTAATCTTAATTGATTTTCTTAAATTCAAAGTGGTGGTTTCTTTCTTTCTTTAGAAGCATAGTCACAAGTTTAATGAAGATGGACAGTTCAGTAGTCAATTTCTTTTATGTACTACATTGGAATTTGTGCAAGCAGTTTTGAGTACCAGTTCTGTGTCCCTATGAGCTTAATGCTGCTTTTGTTGGATGCCACTTTGACTTCATGGAGAATAAATCCCATCTAGGAAAGAAAGGCTCCAAAGATAATGTTTTGTATTTTGTGAAGAATTTGAATTTTATTTTCAGCCTTTTCAGAATTCTTTACCCTGTGAGTGCTCACCTGTTTAGTCTTTTACTATATAAAAATAATTTTTGGGTGAAAAATTTACATAGCAAATTACAATCTCCTTGATTCGTTCCATGCCCTTGTTTACACTTAAAATGTAGCATTACTCTCATTTTCTATTGTTTCCATTGATCTTGCTTCCTTTCCCATCCATTTGATTTTCTTATGTTTGAGTAACTGTTTATCATTTGGTCTCACTGTCAATTGTTTTAGAGAGCACATTATTCCCAGGAGATACTATTTATTTTATAAGCCAATTTGTTGTTTGGCTGGAAAGTGACCTGCAGGTATAGTTGAAATTCCAAGCTCAAAGGGTATCTTAGGGCGTTAGTCTCAGGGGTTCCTCTAGTCCCGTAATTCCTTAATTCAGTATATCTGACCTTTTTATTTATTTATTTTAACAACAAAAAAATTTTGTGGTCTTTTCCTACATTTTTCTGTCATTCTATCCAAAGCCTTATATTGTGTCCCTTGTCAGTTTGGGTGCTAGTAGTAGCCAGGCACCAACTACTTCTGATCTCAGGTTAGAGCAGGCTGTGGTTTGTGTGGGCTATTGGTCCTATGGACTAATTTCTTTGCACCTTTACTTTATTCATTCTCTTTTGCTTCATAAGAGTAAAGACTGATAGTTACTAGTTGAATCTTGGATGTCCACTTGTAAGATGTTACCAAACTAAAATGGAAGGAATGATCTATAAAGTACACAAGTTGACTGAGTTGTGCCCTGAGACCATGGTCCCAGCCTTTTAACCTAAGCAGTTCTTCTAGTTAGACTTTGTCTCTGAAGCCTCCATAATTATGCCTCCTATGTGTTTTGTTACAACTGTAAATAAATGTATACAGCACACACAAGATAAATGTATAGAAGTCCACAGATACACATGTCCATGCATTTACTTGTATATGCCTTTTTGTACACATCTACTTCCTGACTAAACACCTATTTTTTAGTTCTTTTCACTTTTAAAAAATGATATATGCTATATAGCATTTGTCTAAATTGTCCAGTTTTTACCATGTGTTTTTAAAATGTATATATTTGTCCTGAGCAGGCTGTGTTGAATTCATTCATGTCTGAGATTTCCTTTCCCATGACCAGTAGCAAGTTGTCTAAAATAATACTGTTTTCCTCTTCTCTCTCCCTTCCATCTGTGGCAACTATCAAAGAACTTTGCTTTCTTTATGCATATCTATCCTTTTTATAATAATGGGACCGTACAATATTTGTCTTTTTGTGATTGACTTCAGTCATCATAATATCCGGTTTCATATATGTTACAAGGTATTTTATTCTTTATAGTTGCTTAGTATTTTATGTGTGTACCACAGTTTATCCATTTATGTGTTGCTGGGCACTTTTGCTTCCATTTGTTAGGAATAATGCTGCAGTGAACATAGGTGTATGTCGATTAGTGTCACTGCTGTTATGTCTCTTAAGATCGCTACTTAGGAGTAGACTTGTTGAATCTTTATATTTCTAGTTCTAGCTTTTTGAGTAACCACCATGCTTTTATGATAATTTGTCTTTTTGATAGTCCACCTAGCAATGTGTAAGAGTTCCAGTCTCTCCTCTTTCCTCCCATTCTTGCCAACATTTATTATTTCTTATCTACTTTGTGATCATTGCTATTTTTTGCCTGGGTGGGATAAAATCTCATTTTAGTTTTGACTTGCACCTCTAATAGTTAATCATCTCAAGCATCTTTTTTGGTGTTTATTGGCTATCTAAAACGACATCTTTGTCCATTTTCCTACATTTTGTTTTGCTTGAATTTTTTTGTTTTTAAACAGATGGAGAGTTTAGACAGTTAGCAGATGGGTCATTGCCAAAGATAACCCCTCTACCCCTTTCAAGTCTGTAGGGCCACCTTATTCTCTTCATAAAGTCTTTTGACTTAGCAAAAAGAGTATTTCATATTTAGGGATCCTCGTTACTTAATTTATCTTTTATTTGTACAGATTTGATTAGGCTATTTATGCTGAAAATTAGGTCTCTTACTTTTGACTATTGAATTTATTTCTGGGATTTTAGTTCTTCTCCACTGATCGGTCATTGAGCCAGTGCCAGTTGTGTGAACACCTTTTTTTTTTTTTTTTCCACTTTTGCTATTTGGGGTCTCCTCATTTTCCATACAAAAAATTGGACGAAGGTTTTTGCATTTCTTTAAATAATGTTGGGATTTGAATAGAGATTTTTATCCTATCCATAGATGGCTTTTGGTAGAATTGACACTTTTTAATGTGTCTTCCAATTCAAGAGCCTGCAGTGTTTTCCTATTTTAGGAGACTTTAAAATTCTTTTCAGATATTCATTATTAGCGAAATAGTGGACTTTTGCTAGTTTGTGCTCTACTTTAATGGATAGGTTGTTGAACATTCCATATTCATAAGTTTTATGGGGAGTGGGACAATTTTTCAATGTTTCCTTTAAAATTTCTTGACTCTTATGTATGATTGTGGTACATCATATTGGAAAAGTTATTTATATTTAAATGAGCCTTTCTGTTAAACCATCTGCCTGGGATGTACCACAACCATATGTTAATTGTTAGATGGATAAAAGAGTGGTAGTTTACTGGGAACTTTAGGTATTGTATTCTTACATAAAACTAAAGTTGCTATCTGTGTGGAAAATAATTGCATTGCAGAAGTAATGAAGTTATTCATAATAATGATAATTGGTTCTGAAATAGGATGGGGAAGAAATGCCTTTTCACATTTTGTGAATTAGTGAAGATGTGAATGTGTAAAACTTTAGTAGTTGATTATTTCTTTGTATTTTTTAAAACAAACATTTCTTGGAAGAAATTTTTTGCGTTCTTTCACAATCTAAATGAAAAACTTTTCTCAATTCAGAGTATATTTTTTTCAATAAGTGCCTCATTATGAAGCAGAACTTTTCATTAATATTTGAGTCTTGGGTACTTGTGTCCTGTACAACATATAAATACTATTAGGTGCAGAGAGTCCTTGTATTGTCAAATGTATATTTATGCAAAATTGAAAGAAAATAACTCACATATGTCAGTGTAGTTTCTTATAGCAAGAATTAACCATACAAACTATTTGTATAAAATCATTTCACATGGTTTATGAGATGGTTTTTTAAAGGTAATAGGTTGAATGCCATTGATCACATTGGTTAGGACAATTTTTTTTCCAGAGCCTAATGTTTTAATGACTATATATGGAAATAGGTATCTTTAGACTCTAAAGGTCATTGGTCCCCTTATACACGTCAGTCTCTTATGAGAAAACAGTTGCCGGAGGCAAGAGACTATGTGCTTCTGAAGGAAACCTCACTAACCAGAATGCTCAGTAGACAAAACCGATAAATAGAAGATTGTAGAAGACGTTTGACTTCGTAAGTGTTAGGATTTTTGCATTGTTAATTATATTTTATTTTAATTCGTGTAATTAAAGGGGGGAAGGAAGTAATCCCAAGCCTTCATCTTTTAAGTGCTTGCACTATATTCCAGGTGAAGTTTTACTTGGCAATTTAGGCATTAATAAGATCAATATTGCCCTTGAGCTTATCCTTCCATAGGGTTATGAGGAGAAATGGAAAGTGCAGGAAAAATGAAAGTTGTCAGACTCAATTCTATATATTTTCTATTTCAAATTTTGCAAAAGTATCTGGAAAACTATTGCATGTTTTAAATCACATTAGGTTACATCATTAAAATCTAATTCCTCTGTCATAGAGGTTATTTGAGTTTGTCTATACAGTCATTAGCAAATATCTTAAATTATGTTACTTGTAAGGGGAGGGGAGGGAAAGAATGAAAATCTATTTAAGAATAGAGTCTTCTTGTAAGAAGGCTACATTCTCTCAGTCAAGATTTTCATCCCTTACACAGTTTTTAAGTCTCATCTGTCTTCATGAAGCAGCCTGGTCTTTTTGTGCATAGGCTCCAAAGATCAGATGTTAGTACCCAGTGCAATAAACTTTTTTAGTGCAGCAGCCCTTATTTTATCACTTGTACTGAATGGAGATCTCTTTTTTTTAAAAAAAAAATTTTTTTTTTAAATGGAGATCTCTTAAAAAAGCTCTGGAGGTTTGAATTCACTACTATCTCCGAGAAAGATGAACAGTCTTCAGGTTTACAATATCTGAAACCAGTGGAGGAGGTTCTTGTGAATTTGTAATGACTTGATAACAGTGAGTTTGACTATATATAGTGTAATCACTTAAGACTTCCACAAGTTTGAGTATTTTTACCAGACATCCCAGCATTGAGTGAAGACAAAATCGGTGTGGTAACTGGTGACATAAAGTAAATTTTTTTTAAGACCTAACAGTGTAACTTAGTGAAAATGATCATGAAAAACTTGGTTTCAAGGGATAACTGAGGTAAAGCAAAAAGGATAGGAATAGTAAACTTTAAGAAAGAGGAAGAGGAACTTGTCCACAATCCTTTTCTCTCCACTGACTGAGAAGACTCAAATGGAGTCAAGTGTTAAGGGTTACAAATGCAAGGGTTTGCATTTCTATTCCAAGGTGAATGTCATCACAACACTTAGAAACTTGGAGATTCTTCATATTGC